TATATATGTATATATATATACACATATATTTGAACAGAAAAACCTGACAGAAACCTACAAAAAGAAGAACCAAACCATCTCTAACACGATCAACCTTGCCGACCAAAAAATCTCACAAAGCCCATCCCTTACCGACCGAATCGAAACCTCAGGAAACAGAGACGCGTTCATTACATTGAAAAATCACAAACCTGATTTCACGAGCAACCCATCCGGCAGACTAATTAACCCATCTAAATCAGAAATTAGCATAATCAGCAAACGCATTTTAGATAACATCAACAACGAAGTTATCAAAAACAGGTGTTTATTAATTTCCGGAGTGGTTTTTTAATTTCAGGAATGAAAAATTCAACGATTATTTGTCGTAATGTCCTGAAATTAAGATTATTAATCGCAAAGGGCTTCACTTACGATTATTAGTCGCAAAGAGTGTACTATTGCGATTAATAATCGTGCAAAGTACGGCTATTAAACGTGACTGCATCATTAATAGTCGTGTTTGACGACAAATTTAAATCGTCACAAAAACAAACAATAGGCGTAAATTTCAGTTCATAAAAATTCTCAGCTATCAACTTTTTCCTCACCGACTGAAGAAATCTTCTCAGGTACACGGCCAAATCAACTTGTTTCAAATATGAATTTTTCTCTCTCAGCCAGGAGAAATACCATAGCGATTCCGAGTAACTTTCGTCTTCTTTTCGTATTTAGTTTTCGGGTTTAGTTACTGAAACTGTTTGGCTCCTCATCTCTTCTATGAGTGGTTTATTTTAATCACAGGAGGATAATATTCATTTGTATGTAAATTCAATGTTTTTTTTTCAGCTTAAGACCACCGTTAATTTAGTTCCTGATCACTTTTTGAAAAAAGAAAAAAAGAAAGAAAGAAAGAAAAGAAAAAATTATTTGGTAACTAACATGAAAAAAAAAAATATATATATATATATATATATACCTAATAGAACTGAAAAAAATTGATTTCTCCCGGTGACTCATTTTTTTCTCTTTGTTCCATGTTTGTGACAATATTAAAAACATATTTCTATATTTCTTTACCGGGCTCAAAACTTACCATCTTTTTTCCTTTATAAAACCTTACCAGTTGTTAAAAAAGTCGGTGACCTCAATTGCAAGAATGACAACGACTACTTCACCCTTTATCTGACAATCGCTGTTTTGGCAGGATTCTTGTTTGTAATCTTGGTAATCCTTTTTGGAGTTTTCAGACAACAGAAGAAACAACAAAAAAAAGGTATCTGGATATCATTAGCATTCCATTTAAAATTTAACTTTTAATTTTAACCCCTTTATTATCAAGCCAAACTAGGAGGAGAATTGATCCAAAGATATAAAAAAAAGATGCATAAAATCACACGGACAAGGGAACCAAATATAAAGTTTAAGTGCTGAGTTTAGGATAGGGAAAACCCGAGTCGAAGTGAATGGTAAAAATGTCACCTTCTCTGTCTAAGTGCCCTGGATTTGAATGCTATGCTGCCTTTTAAGAACTATTGATTACGCTATGCCAAATCGGAAGAGAATTCACCAATGAAGAAGTGCTAAACAAAACACTGTATAGCAATTCTAGCTAAGCTTAGGGTCTTCATGAGGTGATAGTTCTTACGGCTTACGGTCAACATCGTTCCATCGTCGTCACCAGAATTTTTTTTAAACTATTTTTACGACTATCGTTTAAAATTGTCGATATCTACTCGTAACTTTTAAAGTTTCAGGCCGTTTCACTTAGCCTTGCCACTCCTTCTTGGCTGGTCAGTATGATTATGTAGGTTCTAAATAAGTTAACAGCCTGGCTTTAACTTTTCTATCACCCCAAGCTTTAATCCTGCGGAAAAAATAAAAGTAATTTGTTGTTTTTTTGCTTTTATTGTTTGTTTTTAGTGTGTTTGTTTGTTTTTTTGTAATTTGGACTATGATGTATGATGGTATTTGATTTTATTCAGCAGATGCAAGAAAAGGAACTGTTATACAGTAAGTGGCCCTATTTCACTTGTTTTTATTCTATATTCATTCAGTCTGATACACATCAAGTAAGACTGATTGTATTTCTAAAACGTTTCAAGAGTATATAAACTGTTTTCATTCTCTTGTTCAGCGGTAATATGTTTTCTCTGAGGCAACCACTTTTGATATTCGCCTGGCTTGATTCAGGAGAGCAAAAGAGACATTTAGATCGTGCTGGAAGATAAAAAACTTTCAAAGGCTTTTGAAAGTAAAAAAAGCCAACGGCACAGACAAACTTTCCAGTACGCTATTCCATTTGAAATTTACCCCCGCTTGAAACTCCAGAGTGAGGTGAGACCCTTGGGCTCGTCTTCTGCATGTTGGTGGAATGTTAAGACGTAGTTACATATGATACCGAGGAAAAGCCTTGCCCTGTTTTCCCCTATGTGTCATTAGAGAGATTAATTATCACAAGACAGGAAAGCTAATACAGCTTTTATAGACACTTCAGATAGGCCACTATACTGTTTATTTGTTTGCTACCACTTTACAGGAATCAACATGACTACGGAGAAAACTTGCAGTTGAATGCTTTAAAAGTCGGTGCCCAGCTTAGCTTAGCGGCGGGAAGTAAGAGAAACCAAAGTGAGCCGTCTGTCCAACAGGAGGGTGTGTATACCGCGCTGTGTTCAGAGACAATGATGGTAATTACACAAACAAAGAGATTAGAATTAGCCAATATGAATGTTATTAAAAATGGTTTCTGCATATATACCCTTTCCTACACTCATCATATCATGACGCACCTTGACCCTGATGTTACATTGCAACGTTTCATAAAATGAAAGTTTGATAATTTTATCCATTTACCATCATCATTTGTCTATAGTCGCCCCCTATAGTCACCATACTATAAATAGAACGTTCTATCTGCTTACGAAACGCATGTTAAAGAAACTCAACAGCTCGTGGCATCAAAACAAAATTTCAATAAGGAAAATGCATTATACGTATGATGCACGATCCTCGCAGTAGATAGCACTATTTATGCAATAGCGAGAATCAGACCTGTACGGGACTCGAACCACTGACCTCTGCGATACTAGTGCAGCGCTCTACCAATTGAGCTAACAAGCCAACTGGGAGCAGGCCGTTAAGTTGATTCGTAATAAACCCGTGAAAGTGATAAATGAGATACA